CGACGGGATGAGGGGGACTGTATGAGTGGGTCGGGGGGTTTAGGGGTGAAGGGACGAGAGGATAAGAAGGACAAAGGGCTGAGGGGACAAAGATGTGAAGATGAGGTGTTGAAGGGCCGAGGGGAGATGAACATGGACATGATGATCTGGCGAGTAGTTACCACGCGGAAGCTGATTATGCAGAGCTACCACGCTGCTTTATGTTTTTCTTAAAAATTTGAAACGTAACAATCTTTGACAATTGTGTGTCGTTTCTTTTCCAGAACACTCTTGTCTGATAAAAAAACAACCGATAGAAAAGGCGATGTTGCGTTGCAGCTTCTACTAATTGCTCTCCCAACTAGTCGTATTTTGCAGCCTCAACATTTTTTCTTAAAAATTTAAGAAAGACTTGGTAATTCATATCCTCGTTAAGAAAATCCATCGGAAATATAAATATTCTATTCTTTATTAGCCCCATGGGTAGCTCCTCAGGTTGAAAAGACCCGAATATGGCGTAGGGATGTCTATGTGCTTAACCTATGTGTTAACTCACAGTGGCAAGAACGAGACGCCCTGTCAGAAGCTGTTGTGCCGGTAAAGACTATTCTTCATTATATTCATATTGAAACCATTAGCTTTTTGCCTCGTACATTCAAGTGTACGAAAAGTGCTGCACCGGCGGGGTTAGCTCAGAGCCAGCATTACAGCTGTCCTTGCTCTTTCCAAAATGTCTTGTCCAAAATAAGGGATTAGGAAAAACATTGGAGCGGTTTTTAAAGAAATTTTGAAAATGTTGATTTTCCCTTCATGAAAAGTACTAAAAATCCAAATATACGTTTTAAACACGCATGTCCTCAAATTCATGCAGATTGATTGGGGAATATCAATTTTGGGAAAAAAGTCTGAACGGTTTGGGCGCTAGCGTTGGCCACAGCCTGAGACTTGCTTTGGCGTCAAGCTATTTTTCAGCATGAAGGACACAGAAAACGAATTCTGACTACATGTGTTGGAATAAGTCCTTTGCTACATAAAGGAGCAATATTTATCGACATTTGTATTACCAGGCCCCGGGCAAAAATATTTTTTGTCTAAAAATCGCGTATTTCCGCTGGATGATTTAAGTACTTTCTCTCTACTACTTTCATAGTATGCCGAGGAAATATTACCCTGAAAATGCCAGAATTAAGTGTGTGTGTGTGTGTGTGTGTGAGCGTCCTTCCACAGTTCCAATAAGTTTAATATCCGTAAATGGATTTTCACTGCGCGTGTGAAAAATTATGAGCTCCAACCTCAATCCCTCTGAATGTGTTGATTTAGAAATAGTATATTATTATTTTTCTGGCTGTGGTATCATTATATTGTTTGATGTTGCATTGTCTCTGCCTTTTAGTTTCGCATGTCTATTTTGTTTCCGGTTTTGGGAATGTGCTTTAGATTTGCATTCACATAGAGCTGTTTAAACAGTCCGTGACAATATACCCGCATGTAATACAGCAGAGCATGCAATTTTTTGCCTTACAATGTTAATAAATATTCTATTTTCGACATATCAATGACGGTACATTGGCGAACAAGTAGAAAAGAAGTGTTACTTGGTTGATATCTGATGATATTAGGTGGTTTGTGTTTTTCAACGACCATTTGGGGTGGGGAATTTTTGACATAGTATTAAACACGTACGTGAATGTTTTTACCGACGTTTTTATTACTGTTCAGTCCTATGGTTCGACACTGCTACGGGCCTTGGCCGACCAGCGGTAACCCAGGCTCTCGGCCAGGGGATAAGGGGATCGTTTGGTTAACCCGAATACATTCCTTCGCCGTATATTCTGGTCTCCATACCCTTAGGGTGGACTTTCTCATCCTCACGCAGCAATAGATACTGATACATTTGTAAGGAAAGGGCACAGTTACTATTTTGCCCCAAGCGGGAATCGCACCTGGAGTTGCGGCGTGTAAAGCGAGCACACCGAGGGATACCTTTTATTCACTGTATTGCAATATTTTGAGTATTGAAATATTCACTGCATTGGAATACACCTCACCCTCATCAAATTTGAATAATCGATTCTCGAGTTTCACAGGGTAGCAGCCTTGATTTATACGAGTAGAACTGTAGTCGCTACAGGCATCTGCACTAGCGCGAGGTGAGAGCAGGAGCGTAGAGCCGGCAAGTCATGAGGGGAGCGCAACAGCAGAGTTGGGTTTTAGAGCTGTAGTCGCTGCAGATACTAGAGTAGGTGTGTTGACGCGGCGACTCTACAGCGGGGATGGTAGAGGGAACAGTAGTGGGCGTGGTCAAGGATAAAGGCAGGTGAGACGTCCGGGAACGTGGAAAGGGTACAACAGCACTAACGTCACGAGGAGGGTCAGTGGACGTGAGGACTTAAGGGGACCCCACATTTCGGAGAGATGCAAGTTTCCCCTTTTTGGCTCGCTCGACTTGGGTTGAACACTATTCCAAAGGTTCCCAGTCTTAACCGAGAGGGTTTACCGCGTCTCGTCATAAAAAAATTGGACAAAAAATTGATCAAGATATTATGATGAATAGGATATTTATGGTGATGATTTTTATATTGTCGCATAGCGGTGCGTGCTGTTTATTTGGTCGCTGAGACGGAACGCGAGGAGGCTACCTTCCGCTCCGCGTACTTGAAGACCGAAGCCGCCCGAAGACACCAGCGCCAGCATGGCAAGCTGGCAAAAAAGATTTGATCGGAGAATCCACGGAAAACTACTTATCAAAGCAGCAAGTAGCTAGGATTCTCCTCCAGACAACTGCTGAATTCAGCCTAGCTATGTAGATTGTATTGAAATTCCATCAGTGTCGAGACTCGCAACCTCAATCTCCCGGTCAACGGTGTTGCAAAGGCATCTCGGGAGAGACAATGTCCAAATGCACAGGCATTATGAAGAAACAAACCATACCAAAATGGAAGAATATGTTATATTCGGCGTAGTTTAATCATAATGATTTAATACCTCATAAAGATTCTTCTGTCACTTTGAAAGTGTTTTTATTTCTGCGATAAAATACTAATAGGAAAAAATAAAAATTTTAATTTATGTATTGTAATTGTTGTAGTATAAGATAATTTTCTGAAAATTTCTGATACATTCTCAATAATTGTAGAAGAGTTATTGGGGTAATTCACATCAAAGTGAAATTAGGATTGATGTTATTTTGATTTTTACATTTATTCGAACAACCTTTCCCACAACTGAGCTTTTTTCCCAGGGTTCCGTACAATACTGTTACAAGGGATTTTTTTCAAATATCCATGAATGCTACTTAATATAATGCAATAATTTTAATTATTATAAATTATATATGAAATTGTATACTGAATTCAATTTCAATAATACCTATTTTTCGCGACTAGACTCAGGCCAACAGGCCTGCACTTCTGTCAGTCCACGCCAATTTTTGCTACGCTCTTTCGCCATATCGCGGAGAAAAAAGGTACGAGTACCACTTGGAAGATGAAACCGGCGATTTAAATTTAGCTCAGACGCATATTTTAGGCTTGAGGATCTTCAACATGCAGTGAACCTACAACATGGGACAGACGGCTTTACATCCCCACCGAAGCAAGGAGTACGAAGGATGATTTCCGTCTTCAAAAATCCACGGCTGCGATCGGGCTTGAACCCTTGAACTTGAGCACTGATATTTTAAGGACGCTAAAATTGTAATTAAAAAAATACATTACGAGAATATAACTCTGGTGAAACTACGGCAGGTGTTACATTTTCTAATGTCGCGTACACCATGAACCCGACACTGCTTCCCTCTACCCTCTCCACCCCCGAAAGAAAAGGAAAGGACAAGAAAAAAAAGAAAGGCGCAAAGCGAGAAGGCAGCGCAGCGTGGCGCGAGGCCGGGGCCGGGGCTCACCGGCGTCGTGCAGCACGTCGAAGCGGCGGTCGGCGGTGACGCGCGCCTCGCCCGCGGTGAGCACGCGCAGCGAGTGCCGCTCGCGGTCCTCCTTCTTCCAGAGCACCGTGTTGTCGCCGGCGTCGCGCACCACGCACGTCACCAGCGCGTCGTCGCCCTCGTACACGTGCACCGGGTGCGTCAGGCTGTCGCGCACCGACGGCAGCCCGCCTGCGGACAGAGGAAGGCGGCGTGTGTGGCAGACTGCTATTCTAGACGCAAGGAGCTGCACCAGCTGCCGAAATCAATATGGTATTTAGAAATGGTCGTAGCTGGATTTTCGACAGCGTGGCTTACCTTGTCACAATACGCAGATGTTTCAGAGTACATGGTACAAACCTGACACGTGAACTCGGGTTATTTGTCCCGTTCATGTACTGAATGTTTTATCCCGGGATGTGAAGATGTTCCCGCCGTTGGATGGTGAGATCAGGTGCCGATATACACGACGGCCAATGAAAATTTCCCCCTCCTCGTATCTCCTGCAGCGGTCCGCCGCCCCAGCAGGGACAACCTCGTAGCTCCCAACCGCCGTGGCAATTTAGTGCTACGAGTATAAGTCTAAGCCTGTATATGAGGGGAGAAGACCGGACGGGAAGGAAGCAAAAGAAAATATCACTTGTCATTCGCATTGTTCTACTGTTACAATATTCTAGGGCATACGAAGGATGATGCATACGAAAAATGATCGGTTTATTCCAATGAACATCCTGTAAGAAATTTTTTTATATAACGGAGTTACACACGTGATATTTTTCCTTGATTGTTACCCAACTCTTAGGCACAGATGTTTGGTAGGTCACGTTTTGAAGTATGGAAGAGATTTCATGTACTTACCGTGAGATCATGATGCATAACAATAAGGCACACATTACGTCCCAGGTGAAAATATAAATATAGACGAAGATCGGAGTACTTTCTGTGGCTAGTGTAGCTAAATTTGCATCTACCCTAAGTCCTCCATATCTGTAAATATATATAAGCAAAAATCTAGTCTAAGTAACAATGTTTAAAATAAAATCTCAATGAATCTCATAGCAATTGTGCAGTTGCGATGATATTGCATGTGCATACTCGGTAGAAGTTAACAATGTGAATACTATTGTGGATTGTAAAATTTTAATTGACCGAAAAATAAGTACCTTAAGATCCACCTGAGGAGTGAGATTGTCTGGTTTCGTGGACACAATGTAAATCAAAATATCACACAGATCGGTGACATTTCTCCTGCAAATTTCTCGCATTGAGTTTTTTTTTACTTGCTGACTTTTGGGTTCAATTTCATCCAACAACCGTCAATGATGCATTTATTATTGTAAAGTGGAGCAAATTCGTATATTAATATTCCAATACAGTTAATGTGTTATATTATATTATATCTATAGATGTACGATTTCATAATAAAGGCTTGTTCGTTTAACAGTTTTCAAATGCGTCCAACGGCGCCAGACGTACCTGCGGTAATTTACAGCTGCCGAGCTATTGTCGCAGGTATGTAACGTTTTCCAAGAATTTCCCTATGTCCACAGCAAATTTCTACTCTATTCATTCCACTCACTACCCAAAAGAGCTAAATAGAGTCGCTGTAATAAAATTCTCATAACGCACGTGTGCATTCTCAAAAAATAAAAAAAATGCGTAAAGTTACAATTCATCTCTTACCAGATTGATTCATTCTGGCAAGTTGGTAAGACAGGTGGGTGGTTGATGAGCTGCGACATGCGAGAATGTAACGATATCCCCACGTGTTATAAATATTAATTCTACAGGAATGTGGGGACACAATAAGTTGTTTTGTAAAATGAGTAGAAACGGCGGGTTAATGGGACACGGAGCATTACGCGGAATGCTCCCCAAACATGTACTGTATGGAGCAGGGAAACGGGGATGTCCCGACGGGACGGTAAAGTGGAGGAGTTGACGCTGCCAGTGGTGGGGATTGACATGAGGAGGGGAAGGGGGAAGCCTCCAGAGCCGCTGGGCCACGCCCCCTCCCCTCCCCTCCCCTCCGCCGTCCAGGCGCTCCCAGATGTTAATTCCAGGCGTCAACATTACAGCAACTTGGAGTATTTGCTCCTCGGGCGACAGGACGTTGACGAGCTACCAGGGACTTCGCCAAAATACAACTTGAGCTTTAACCAAATTACATGCTAATGTACCAACAGGGGAGCTTCGAGTTACGAGGAGAAATATTAATGGGCAGCAATCGACGCGATTTCTCGCACTTGGAGGACTCAAATTATAGGCCAGTCGTCACTGAAAGACCTTCTCTTTTTAACTTTTAATTGTGGAATTTTAAAACAAATCACCACACGTTTTTGGGCACCAAGTATGTGAAATATTTGTTTTTATTTAACGATTTGTGACTTGAAATATTTCTGAATCCAGTTCATTTTTTTTCATGTGGTACTTCGAAGTAGTTTAAGTACTCACATACAGTCCTGAAGTTTAGTATGCCTCTTTATGCACATACTCCTAAGGTTTGTGAAAATGCATACAAACGGGAATGGATCCATAGCGGTATGATATCACACAGTCGATAACGATAGATAAGTATGGCGTTATTTTCCCAGCGTATCTCACAACTTCCTTTAGACGAGATAGAATTTTCCAGACTTATGCGTCTGCGTTACCCTAACATTAGTTCGTCCTTCAACATCATCTACAAGTACGTCGTAATCGACGAACGGGTAGTCAAGCACGGCAAGTCATATACTCAGAATATTAAGCTAATCATACATTTTCAAGTATTACCGAGAGTATAATTTTTGGTCTGAAATTCGTATTGACAAATTCTCTCTTAATTATTGTCATTAATGACCACAAAAAGCACAAAATACTGAGTTCTGAAATGACATTTAGAAGAGACCGAATAAGTTATTTCGGACTGAAATATGAATTATCTGATCAAATCAGTGGGGTATTACAGCATATTTCTTTTCGTTAGCAAACTAGTTAAACAGCCTTTAACTGAACTAGTTTCATGTAAAATGAAAACATCGAGAAAACGAAAGCTCGTTTATTTGCTAAGAGTGCATTTGAAACGTGGATTTATTGACGTGTTGCGTTTACATTTGCCACTTAACAGCAAATTTGAAACCAATACATTCATAGTTACCAGTAAATGAGTGTTCGCGCGTTCGGCTCGCGTCGTCTGGAGTATTCCGTCCATCCCTATCTACACCACCCCCACGCGGACGTCATCCGCAATAAACGCGCGGCCCACGCACGGAAGGGCGGTG